TCCACAAATTAAAAAAGTTACACACAGGAATCGCCAAAGAAGCCTTTTGAATTTCGCCATGTTTTAAGTTATGTGAGAGAAATTTAAATCGCTTGAGAAAACGAACCGCATGTTCTGAATATGAACGGCGTGATGAAATACTTTGATTTTGTTGTACTTGTGCTAATGTAGTAACTTTTTTAATTTGTGGATGCCATATGAAGCAAAAACAACTAAAGTACACGATTCAGAATCAGACTCAGAACAACAAAAATCAGACACTGAAACACAAGCATCAGACGAAAATTAAACATTTTAACTAATGATTAACCATGCTTAATTAATTTGTGGTTGTTTGACTTCGATGTCTAAGACTGTTCTGAGAAAAAGAAAAAGAAAAAAAAGTGCCCCGTAAAACCTCATCGCTGAAAAATCGATTTTCTGGAATCTCATTATGAAGGATGGGGACTGAGAAAACTGATAATGTCATTAGATTCAGCATGCTCGGAAACCTCTAAGACCCAGCTCTTGTGAATCTACTGCTTCTCAATATAACGCTGTAAGCAAATCTTTCAACTAAAAAATCTATCTAAGAAAAGTATCTTGTCATATAACACAGTGATACTAACCGATGGACGGTTCACTACCTTCCAAAGTAACATCAATATTCAAAACAACAATAAACACAAATAAGCAGTAATTAGTAGTCGGTCATATGATTAAATTTCTAGTCGATAACAGTTATTTCACTCTAAGTAAGATTGTTGTTAAACAAACCATTGGAATATCAATGGGCACGGATCCCGGGCCCCTTTTAGCAAATTTGCTCTTGTACAAATCAGAATTTGAATTTTTGGATAAAAATACACAAAAATTGTATTCAACATGCAGATCACTAAATAACACCTTTCGCTACAGTGATGATCTAATCACAATAAATTCTAATGATAAATTCAATCTACATCAAATGTCCATAAATCCATCGCAACTGACGTTGAACAGAGAAAATGTGAGCCGTCAAACCGCCAAGTTTCTAGATTTTGAAATGACTATCGTTAGTGGTGTAATACAAATTAAACCGTATGATAAAAGAACAAAATTCGATTTCGAAATAGTAAATTGCCCGGATTTGAATGGAAATTGTCCAAAAACGATGGGTTATGGCGTAGTTATAGGACGAATGCTTTGACGTCAAAAACATGCATGGGTTATAACACTTTTAGAAAAAGTCTTAGGGACATGTACAAGAAACTGCTAGGGCAAGGATATGTTTCACAGAAGTTACTAAACACATTCAAAAAGTTCTTTCAAAAATATGGTGCTAATATCGATTTTAAATGTACCACCAAACAACTAATTAAAGACTTATTGAAATAATGACATCTATTGGCCTGATAATCCATACGAATTTCTGATTTTTTGATACTAATCTAATGTTTTATCAGTTCACAGAATACTTAACATCTGAACATCAGTAACAACATTCAAAATATTCTTAAAATAACATTATACATGCATACAGCGTTAGCTATTCAGTTAGCTAATGGAGCGCAAGAAATAACATCATGATCGTACTAAGTAGAATGAAAGTTCTGAAACGATCTTTCTGGTTTCTAGCTGACGTGCTGGTATTTTGTGTATGAACTTATTTTAGAATTTGCCTATCATATGCATTCTGTTAGCTGTAAAAGTATGAGCGCTTCATTACTTTATTGACTTCGTTGACAATGTCAAACGACTCTTTTTATACAGATCAGTTAGCATTTTTCTAGTTATGGTAAACGCTACACTAACAAGCATTGAATGCAGGTTACTAATAATATTATTGTCATCGTTCAACTGTTCACCAAGAGCATATTTTAGAAAAAGACTAGCAATCAAGTGCGCCACTTTCCAAAGTAAACATCTGTATTCGTTGTTTTCCATTATCAGCCACATAAATATTACCGTTGAAATCTAATGCCAGTCCTGTTGGATTAGATAAATTTTGAAAAAGAGTAATAGCTGTAGGTGTTGAATCAGGTGTCAGCTTTTGAATTCGATTATTTCCCCTGTCACTAACATATATATTACCGTAACTATCAAGAGTAACATCCCATGGTACATATAATTGATGAGCATTTGGCCCTTTACTTCCTCCAGCTACGGTTACTCCAGTATTTGCCCCGGGCTCCCATTTCTGAATGCGATTGTTCGTACTGTCAGCTACATAGATGTTTCCTTGGACATCTACATGTATACCTTCTGGTTCATTGAACTGATTAGCGTCTGATCCTTGTCCATTGCCCCCAGCAACTAACGTACCACTGGTTGCATTAGGAGCCCATTTCACTATTCGTTGAAATGTGTAGTCAGATATATAAATATTTCCACTCTTATCAACAAATATACCAAGACTCCCACCAATCTGGGTAGTACTATTACCTTTCTTATTTCCTCCTGCTACAGTAATACCAAATTTAGAGTCCTTTTTCCATTTTTGTATTCGATAGTTTCCATTGTCGGCAATATATAGATCACCATCACCGTCTACAAATACACTTGATGGTCCATCTAATTGATTTGCGGCAGATCCAAAACCGTTTCCACCGGCCACTACGACTCCACTTGTGGCACCTGGGGCCCACTTTTGTATACGATGATTACCACTATCTGCTATGTATACACTTCTATCCTTATCAACAAAGACATTATAAGGATGAGATAATTGGTGTAATCCACGACCATCACCAAATCCACCCGCTACTGTTTGTCCACTGCTATTCCAAACAGCTTTTGCACAACATGTTGGCTGTGCTAACAATGTGAAGAAAGCACACTCATATTTAATTCTTAAAGCAAACTAATGCCCGTGATAAGCAGAACATTGGTAGATTCTATACCAGCTGATTCGTCAGCAGTTATTTTGCTTCCAAATAGTATCGGAACACAACTGCGTTGTATCTGTCGATCCGAGATTTAGAAGCTAGATTTTTGTCTATAATCCCCATCCATTTATAAAACCATATACTTGCGATATATTTATAATGTATTTATTAAATCTATACTTACGTTTCATTTCGCATTCTTCTTTTGAAATATTATAAAACAGAGAAACATTGAATGTTGATTGATGTCTTTTAAAACATTCTGCAGCTCGCTTATCACACATACAACTACCATAGTTACATTCATCTACATTTTCTTTACAACTAATTGTACCATTACTATACTTTACATCATATGCTGCTAATGCCAATGTTCCACTGCAAGAAGAAGCCGTTGTAACATCAGAATAACATTGTTGATGAATTTTGCAACATAAATCTGTTTTATCAACATATAGGTCGCCTTTAATTTGTGAACCACACCTATAAATTAAATATAATAGGCGTTAATCTTTTCCAAAGTTAAAAAGCTAAACATTTTTACTAACCAGCATCCATAATGATCATATTCGGTTGGTAAACGTTCAGTTAAATAATAAATCATAGATCGAAATTGTAAACTGTTATGTTGTATTTCAACTGTTACATTTGCCAAAATAAACCATAAAAAAATGGACAATATTAGTTTCATTGTTGTTACTAAATGATAGAAATGATTTTGTATTGCTCTTTCGAATTCAACAATAGTGCATACCACTGATTTTGTCCTTCACCTATATAAGAAAAAAATGTAATCCTGCTTTAATTAGAAATATTTTAAGCTCAGAAATATCGATGAATATGTTTTTTTGAGAAGTGTACAAAGAAATTTGAGAAAGTGTGTCATATCCATAGGGAACTTGCACCTCAAAGAACGTGGGATACTTGCAGGAACTTCGCAAGTACTTATCAAGCTATCTGTCTGCTATGATCAAATACAACCACTATTATCTTTGTTTATGTCAAATGTATATTTATTTCAAATCCAACTTGATAACAACTCATAATCATATACATTGAGAAAAACAAACATTTACATACAGTTTTAACAGTATTGAGGAATAATTTAGAACTAGAACTATCGAAGACTGGGAGAAGCCAGAAAAGAATGTGTAGAAAGTTCCTGACATGTGTTATATATCGCCCACAAAATGCGGCACCTATCTGAGAATTCATTTTTAGGAGAAGGGAGGTTTATGTAAGGATTTTAAATCCATCCATCAGTATAATCCTTGTTATACATGGCGCTCCTTGCTCAGATAGATGCCGCATTTTGTGGGCGATATATAAC